TGAGTTCGGTATCGTCACCTACATTGGTATCCTCGGCACCTGCAACTGTTGGGAAGTATCCGTAAGTCACGAGGACTCAGCAATCTCACACCCGCGAGATCAAGACTATTTAAGCTTATGGGTAGGAAAGGGTAGCGAGGTGGAGCTACAGCAAGCACTAAGCATATATAGTGGCTAACATACGCAAAAGAGAGCGAGAAGAGAAGCAGCGCAACGGTCGAGAGGCTAGCGGTGATCAAGAAGTGATCCAGAAGCTACTTACGTTCAAGCATAACACAAGACCGTGTTCTCTTCCCAGACTCCGCCGAAAAGAGACCATCACGGCTACACACGCAGTTGATTCATTTTAACTAAGTTAAGTGTCAAGTTCTCTACAATCGGATATTAAAAAATTCCCATCTGCCACATAACCGCGGGCACGACTCTCAAACGTTTATACCCTGCAGGGGTGTCCCAACTTAGCCCATCACAACCTCTCATGGTCAACGAAGGATATTCCTTCTCCAGGGAAGACCCGATCAGTCTCGGAATCCCGGTTACAAGACATTTCGACAATGGTAAAACAAGACCAGCAAGACCGCCCGAATGTGCCGACAAATCCCGATAGGAGCTGCACATATCTCATTCTCAAGGCACACCGGATGAACACTACGTACAACTAAAACCAACCCTCAAGTTTCCCCGAGGTGGCGCTGCAAGTGGCTCTGTTTTGGACCAACACTCAGAGGAGCACTGGCCCGGGGGTTTAAAATAAAGATGACCCTTGAGTCCGCGGAACCCAAGGGAAAAAGGCTTAGGTGGCAAATGGTAAAACCATGGTTGGGCCTTGCTGGAGGAGTTTTATTCAAAGCAAACTGTCAAGGGGTTCTCATAACACCCAACCGCGTAAGGAACGCAAAATCAAGGAACATAACACCGGTACGACGGAAACTAGGGCGGCAAGAGTGGAACAAAACACCAGGCATAAGGCCGAGCCTTCCACCCTTTACCAAGTATATAGATGCGTTAAAGTAAATAAGATATAATAATGATATCCCAACAAATCCATGTTCCAACATGGAACAAACTTCATCTTCACCTGCAACTAGCAACTCTATAAGAGGGGCTGAGCAAAAGCGGTAACATAGCCAAACAACAGTTTGCTAGGAAAGGTGGGTTAGAGGCTTGACATGGCAATATGGGAGGCATGATAAGCAAGTGGTAGGTAGCGCGACATAGCAATAGAGCGAACAACTAGCAAGCAAAGATAGCAGTGATTTTGAGGGTATGGTCATCTTGCCTGCAAAGTTCTTAGAGTTGTCGAAAGCTTGATCCTCGTTAGCGTACTCAACAGGTTCCTCCGTCACGTACTCGTCTCCCGGCTCTACCCAAAGCAATAACACAAGTAAAGGACCAACAATCAATCACAATGCAATGCACAAGCAACATGATGCAATACATGGCATGATATGCAAGACAAGATATGCAATGCATATGTGTGCTCCGGAAGGGAAAGAATGATCAAAACATCAACTTGGCAAACCAAGTGTGCCGCTGGAAAGATGAGGTGATTTTGGTTGAAATCGATATAAAAATCACCGGAAATAGATGCACGGTTTGCAAATGGCAAGCAAAACAAGGTTGATGCTATTCTGCGATTAACAGCACGATGCCACTTAGAATGCAACAAGAAACTAAGATACTGCAATCCAACATAACAACAAAGCATATGGCAGTGATGTACAAGAGATGCTTGACAAAACATGAACAGTGAGCTACGGCTAAATAATACAAGAGCATGATCAAACAAGCATGGCAAAAGTGCAAAAGATATCAGCATCATAGACTTAGTGAAAATACTAACATGTCAAAAACAATATCAGGAAGCATTATTTAGAGTAAGCAAACAACATGCTACAGTAACATATCATAGCAAACAAAGGCATGGCATGATTCTACTAAATGCATAGATCAAAAGTCCCTTACTGATCATGAGCCAAAAAGGCACAGAAGATATGATGGCACCCATGTAAACATAGCAAGTTTTATTAACAGTTTCAGACTTAGCAGAAAAACAGAGCATGGCATAAACAGAATTATGATAGCAACTTTGCGAGATCAAACCACTCGCCACAAAGCATTGCATGGCAATATAAGCATACCAATAGCAAGATGACATGTTCATGAAGCTAACCATGGCAAGAGAAAGTTCATAGGATGCATGGATCACTAGCAACAACCATGGCAATATTGATTAACATGTTAACATTCTGCCAGGAACATTTTATAGCAAAAGTAGAGCAATAACAAGACATGCTAAGGCACTCCATAATTGCAAACAGGGGCATGGATGGATAGAGCATAACCACATGTTCAAAACATCCTTACTGAAGTATCTCAAAATAAGCATGGATATCACTATAGCATCAAGTTTACATGGCATCAAAATAACAGCAGGAAAAAGACTTAGCAATATCCTAAGTCCCTGAACACAGCAACATTGTGAAGCCTAGTTTGCATGCTTGTGCTAGTCACCACAATGATCACAAAAATACAAGACAAACACCACTCTAAAGATGGCATGTTGTAGTTCAAAACACATGTAGACCCCAAGCTCATACGATGCACACATCAAATGCAACAAAAATGATAAAACCTCATGATCTGATAAGTACCAGCAGTTAACATTTTATAGCACTCTTGCATCAATGAAAAAGGCATCAAAATGTACAGTATCATGCATGGAAATGCTTCTAACGTGAAGAGCTCATCGAGACGATCAATTCAACATATCATATGCATGAATCGGAGTCACGGACACCGAGATATGAAGCAATGAAGGAGGCATAAAATTATTGCAGAAAAGGACTTGGTGGAAATTATACCCCGCAAATCTGGATCTAGGGTTCGTCGATACGCTTCCCGAGGTTCGCTGGACGACGAGCTCGCCGGAGTTGGACGCCGGGTGGAGGGAGATGGCCGGCGACGGGGTTCCTCCGGGTCGGATCTCGCCGGATCCGGCCGGCGGCGAACCGAAGAGGCGGTGGGGCGACTAGGCAACGGGCGGCGGCGACGACCCGGTCAGGCGGCAGCGGGGTGAAGCGGTGCGACGAGGAAGAGCGGCGGCGCGCGGGAGGCGGAGCCGGGAGGCGCGGCGAGAGAGAGCGGCGACGTGGGGAAGGCGGAGCCGGCGGGAGGCGCTGGGCCCGCGGGGGCCGAACGCGGGCCTGGCGGGCCGGTGGCGCGGGGACGGGGCGGAGCCACGTGGCGGCTCACTATTGGTCCGGGTGCCATGGCGGTTTCGTCCGGTGATGGCCGGACGTGTCCGGCGGCGTGGATGGGAGATAGCTAGGGTTTTGGACCCGAAATTCAGGGGAGGGGCACATATTTATAGGTGGAGGAAGTTTAGAGTGTCCAAATGAGGTGTAGTTTTCATCCACACGATCGTGATCCGACGACGGAGGACATGGAGATGGTTTAGATGTGTTATTGGGCTGTTTTGAAGGGGTGTTGGGCTGCAACACAAAAGAGGCCTTCGCGGTTACCTGGTTAACCGTTGGAGCATCAAACGGCCTCCAAATGGAACGAAATTCGACATGCGGTCTACCGGTAGTGTACCAAGGCCACTTGACAAATCTCGATCAATTCCGAGAACGTTTAACACCCGCTCACAGAAAGAGACAACAGGGGTGCGCCGGTGCATGTGGGAGTGTCGGATTGCGAAACGGCCAACGGGGAAAATATTCGGATGCACGAGACGAACACGAATGCAAATGCAATGCACATGATGACATAATATGAAATGCATGACATAAACAAAAAGCAAAACAACGTCAAAACCCAACCACGAAGGGAGATCTCATAACTTAAAGCCAAAAATGGCAAGAGTCAGAGTTACAAATATGGCAAGTTACATACGGGGTGTTACACTGCCCCTTCTCTAGGTAAATCTGGCATGATGTGCTAGCCTGGGTGTGCGCTACCTCACTTAAAGCCAAAAATGGCAAGAGTCAGAGTTACAAATATGGCAAGTTACATACGGGGTGTTACAC